AGGAAAGGAAAATCCATCTTCTTCAAAGGTAGGAACCTTAAGTTCGGTAAGAAGACGGTTAATAAGGCAATCATAAGGGAGACCTAAAGATTTTCGCTCAAACATGGCTATCATTTTTTGAATAACAAGAGTGGCAAGATTGATGGAGAGTTGGTGATTTATGCAAAAGAGAACATAGCCTTGTTCTTGATTGATTTCGGATCTATGGGTGGTGACTATGATATTGGCACAGACAATTAAGTTATGCAAACGGATCGGGGAAGAAGTTCATGTTGTTTGATCAAGACCCCCTTGATCCAAGTCAGGGGTGAGCCACACAATGCAGTGGCCACTTCTACCTCGTTGAAGTCACAAGTGGGTCGAACAAGGAAGGGATAGTGACACTGTAAAGGAAAGCTTATGTCGAAGAGCTTTTGGATAAGATCAGGGGTAATGGTGATGGACTTAGACCTAACCCAGGTCTTGAAGGAAGGGCCAATATCATCAATGCAGTTGATATTACAATAAAACTCCCAGACCTAGTCAAGGTTTTGACTCTTGGAAAATGATAGAACCAAGTCACCCCCAAAAGGATCAAACAACGGCCATATAGGTATGGACTCAAATGTATTAGGCTGGACATTATGCTCTAAGTGGATAGTCCTAGAGGTGTAAGATTCTTTAAAAGACTTGGCTTTTTCTGCAGATGGAAACTAGTCGGGGTTATAGTGTGGATGGGTGACAGTGAACTTCCTATGTTTGGAGGTAGACATGACTAAACCCAACACAAAACCAACACCAACCAGACAAAACACCCCCCCAAAAACCAAGGCAACAACCAAAAACATTAGTAAGAGAAAATATTAGTAATAAAAAAAATATTAGGAACAAATCCGATACCAACCAGCAGTACAAAATCCCAAAGAGACAAAATGCAAAACATAATGTAGCATAATTCATGAGAAAAATAAAGCAGTGACAAATGACAACTAGCAAGTACCGAATATCATTATCCATAAAAAGACAAAACCACAGATAGCATAGAGCAAAGCAGCAAGAGCATAAACTAAAACAATAGGAGCAAAATAACAGAAAAACAAGACCATTAGTAACCAACTGTCCAAATTTCTCAGTAGCAGCAATGGCCACACAAAGAGCAGAGTGAATATGGAGAGATCAGTAAAAGACTCCACAAATCAAACACACAACACCCTAGGGAACCCTAGACACTTCACAAACCATTTCGGAAATAGATAGAGCTAATGAAAAAATAAAAAGAACAACAAAAGAATAGAGAGACAAACCTGAGAAGATGATGGAGCACTAGAATGAGGGTAATAGCAATCACGAACAAACAGAACCAAGACGGAAGTGGGAAGGGTAAGAGCGTAAACGGAGCCCTATGAGAGAGAGAGAGAGAGAGAAGAAGAAGAAGAAGAAGAAGAAGAAGAAATTGGGGAAAGAATGGACTGAAAGGTCGAGGGCTGGGTTTATGAAGCAATGTAGTCCGCTTGAGCGAGGGGTTTGAGGCTCGAGAGTAAATCTATATGCGTGTGGCTTCACTCAAGCCAGGAATCATGCGCTCGAGCGCAAAAACAACCTCTCAAACATTTGTCGCCTCTACAAAAGTGTTGGAAGGGTGAAATCTTTACTCGAGTGCTAAAGTTGAGGCTCAAGTGGAGAGGAACCAACAACAAAGATAAAAAGCACCCTTCTGAGCAAATAAAAACACCTCACACTGTTAAATGGGACCTGAAACAAGAGGGGATTAGGACAAAGGCAAACAGTGACACTTAGAGGGGATAATCCACATACCATGAAGCCTGCAAACTCGCAATGTTGACAATATGAAACATAGCATCATGAGCAAATCAGGTAAACATTGATCAATGAGCATAAGTTATATGAGAATGTACAACTCAAAGAAAAACATGAGAGCTCACATAATGAATGTGTGTGTGTGTGTAATCCTTGAAAGGCCACAGAGCTAGACTTAATCCTCGTATTGATCAGATGGCTAGACCTCTAATAAGAGTGACTGTAGACACCCCATTTTTGACCGCCCGTAAGACTTGAGCTCTTTGTCCTACGCACTCAATGATGAAATTACATTGTCAATGGTTCGAATTCTCAACGAAGGAATCTGATTTTTAGCTCTAAAAAATCTCAACTTTTCATACCCAGGCTGTTTCTATACCTATATACCACAAAAATCCATTGTTTAGCACCATGCCAACATACAATGAGCCTGAATCAAAGGAACATAGGAGCTACATTGGGGCCCGGCCGTGCTTCATTTAGGGTCGGTCGTGCTTTTTTGGCTATAAACACTGTTCTGGGCTAGAATCCATCAGTTGTCTATTTTTGAAGATATTTGTGACTTATTTGGCTCAAATTCTATAAATATGAGCTGATGCCTCAGTATTGGGGGTTAGAAAAATTTCAAAGAAGCCAAAACACCTTTGAGAGCTCCTTCTTCCTTCACAAGCTATCTTTGAGATATTATATCATCCTTGGATCATATCTATACATCACATACTCCCTTAGAGCTGAACTTGGGAACCTTGGTTGAGCCTTGAGAATCATAATTTAACCTTGAAAGTGTGCTAGGATCAAGTTCAGGTTACAATCAATGCTTGCTCTCTTCAAAAGGTATAAGCTTGTCACATTTTTCCTTGCTTTCATTACAATCTTTCTCTACCTATTTCTTGTGTTTTTGTACTGTTTTGGATCCATTTCAAGTGTTGGAACTTGGGTTTAAATAGATACCAAAGGTAGAGAGGCTTAACACCCTTTCTTACACCTTATTTCATAGCTCATTCCCTTTGTTTACTCTTTTCATTGGTCTACAAACTGATTTTTAGAGTTTAAAAGGGCTGAAAAACATGATTTAGAAGTCTCAAAAGTGGAGGGGTTAGCCACCTCTCCTTGCTCTTGCTTACTAGTTTTGTATCTCTTTGTTTTGGCATTTTTTTGTGCTCTTTTGACATGTTTTAGTTACTGTTTTTTTTACATGTTAGGGGCTGTTTAGGACTATTTTAATCATTTAAATAACTTATTCTTTGAATTTTATACTTGTTGTGTTATAAGTCCTTATGGTTTCAATTGTTTAGGCCTTAGACACCGAGTCATTCGAGTTGATGGTTTTTCTTTCACTTAGTTATAATAATCAACTTCACACATCATCTCTGCATCCTCCCTTATTTCTTGGTTTTCTTTGTTTAAGAGTTATTTCAAGCGATTGATTGTTATTCAAGGCATGAGAGAGAGACCTCCTATGCTCAATGGCTTAATCTCTTCGGAGGTTCATCGTCAAGGCATAGTCTCTCTTTCATGCTAAGAATCACTTCTCGTTTGACATTTCTCTTCATTTAGTGGACTTAATTATCACTTTGGGACAAAAGGATTAAAAAATGGAAAGATAAGCCAAAAAGGACTTAAAACCAATGAAATAAAGCAGATGAACAAAATTGGTTGGATTCGGCCGAACGTTATGCTAAGCCCATCGAGTCAAGAGTCATCATATGTTAATTCATGATATGTTGATGAATTTTGAGGCGTGTCTACCTTCCTCTTTGAGCTAACTTCATGATAGGAAGGAAATGTAGTTGTCTTTCATTGCGTTTATTGACCTTTCGTCCAAACGTGCTCGAAATCATTAAGCAATCCACTTGCTACCATTGATGATTTCAAAATCGAATTTGTTCTTCTCTTGAGTTCTCCCATGACAGAGAAGAGCACAAGGGGCAAACATAATTTGAAACTGCTCTGTCTGCACTGTTTTCACCTCAGAGCACAAAAACATTTTCTGCATGAAAATAAGGCACGACCGGCCTTGTTTGGACTCGACCAGGCCTCATTGGGGGCCGGTCGAGCTCCAATGTTTGGTAAGCAAAGCATTTTTTTGGCAGAAACAGAGGACAGTGGCTGAGGGTGGAATAGAACAGTCTGAGCATACAAAACAGTTTCTGAACACTGTCTTCATCAGCGCAAATGCGATCTTTGTGATTTCGTATTATTCTTATTTTTGTAATATCATTGTTGTAATAAATTAGATAGTTAATTAGCTATTCATTATTCATTCGATATTGTAATAATTAGTCTAATCCAGACACTTGGACATTCGGACCCTTTTGCACGAGGGCAAAACATGTAATAATGGTGTATGTTTTCTAACCCCCATTTCTTTCTCCCTTTTATTTACTCGCTTACAATGGTAGCCTAGAGCATCATGTTTCCTTAGCATTTTTCATGATTCACATACATTCGTCTTGCATGCATAAGGGTTTGGCATCATCGTTCTAACCAATGTCAAAATCAAATTCTTTGCTCGAATACATGCTTTATCCCATGTCTTGAATTGAATCAAATGCCATGCTAGTAGCCGAACTTGTTATTTGCATGATTGTATGTGTCACATTAGTCATATTACATTATTTAGGAGCATCACTACAAAAAAAAAAAGCACTTTTAGCGACCTTTTTTTTAGTCACCAAAAGTGTAATTTTGGTTGCTGAAAGTATCCGCGACATCAACAAAATCGGCCACTGAAGCCTTGTCACTAAATGGTTCGGCGACCAAATCAATTTTGGTTGCCTTATAAATAAATCGACGACCAAATATTTCAATCACTAAAAGACTAAAATTTTGTTGCTAAAAATTAACATTTACTCGCTAAAAGTAGCATAAAGCGGATGACATGTTAGGTTTAGCGACATATAAATGCGTCGCTAAAAATATCTTTTAGTGACTAAATGAATTGGTTGTTGAATGTTAAAACTTTTGGCGACCAATCAAGTTTTGGGTCGCAAAAAAAATTATTCACATAGACTTTCAGCAACATAAATAAAGTGTCACCAAAAGTAAATTTACAACTGAAAAACTGTCACCAAAAATTCATTATTTATAAATAAAAAAAATTACAATTTCCCTATTCAGTACATAATTCATAAACCTATAAACATAAGCAAAATATAATTCAAATTAACACGCTTGTGCAAAGCATCCAAAATATAAACTTAATTCAAAAGTAGTAGCATATTAAATATAAGTAAAATATCAAATCCAAAACATCTAATATAAGTACAAATCCCTTACAATCCCAAACTTCAAACATGTAATTCCAAAAAAACTTCTAAGCTTGCAAGTTCATAACAAAAACCTATGACAAAATATATCCAAAAATTCAAAATGTAATCCTTTGATGCTCCTCGAACTTTGTTCCATCCATTGCCAATCTGTCAAACATATGAAAAAAATTACAATGTTAAAATGTTAATAATAAAGTTCCTGGTCTGAAAACATTGGTTTCACATTATAGATTAACAAATTAGGAGCAAATTTTCCTACGGTGAATTACAAGATTTCAATGTACCAAAATCAAAAAGTAACACGTGATTCACCAGTTAAAACTTGGCATATATGAACTAATTACACGCAATATCTCTACAAGTTTGTAAATCAGTAGCATATTATCCAACCAAAATCTAGCTCAAATTGTGTCATAATGGAATACTGATCAAACCCAATTTCAAGGTTCCAAAACAAGAGCAAATATCAACTGAGTAGAAGCTACCAATGGAATGAGATTTCATCCAAAGTGCTACCTTTACTTTCATGACTAAATTGAAATTAGAAGAACCTATATCTTAAACTTGAGGTTGGTTTCACTTTCATTAAGGTCAAAAAGTTGCTCAAATAAAAACTAGAATGAATATGAATAGTTTGACAGCATTGTGCCCACAAATCGTACTTTATTGCCAATGATATGTTGTGATAATTAATTGTCTGATATTGCAAAAGCAAATTATGAGATGTGTGACATTTCTAGTATAGCATTATAGTAGTACATATTAGTTTAGTTATTTTTGTAAAAGCATATTCATTTATTTTAGCAATTTGACTTATTTATTTGTTGAGTTAGACATGGAATTGAGATTTTTAAAGCAAAACACAACAACCACCCCCTAATTAGCATATTTGGTCTTATCTTATTTATATAGCAAAAAGTTCCTTTGATCATCTAATTGTTTGTCATATCATGAATGCTCAAAGTATTAGGATTTTATCTTTTTATATACGTATGTGTTGTGATATGTTCACAGTAGTAAAACGAAACTAAGAATACAATAAGTGAATCCTGTAATAGCCACAAATTTAATAAAAAAGTGTCAAAATTCTCTAAATAAATTAAAAATGCCTTAACAAATAGTCAAAGATTACCTGATGTAGTAATTGCTCCCAATGAACGAGTGCAGCTTTTTTATCTCTTTACATTAACCGATAACCTATAACCTTGGCAATTGTAAATCAAAGTTTAAATTAAAATCGAACTATACATGAAATTAATGGAGAGTTATGGACATGAAATGAATGACAAATAACATATAAGGAAACTCATGTCCTATCTTGAATTTTTTTTAATTTTCTACCTTATTTGTCATACTTACTTGCCATGGATATGTGCAAAATAAACAATTCGACTACACATCTAAATAAATGATTGTACTTCTAATCTAGACAACAGTTGAATCAAGTATTCCCAACCTAAGCTCCAAAAGCATGTTTCTAATTTCGTTAGTTTAGTGTCATACACATAGATTGGAAACTTGGATTAAAGCAAAAATAAATATCAATTACAGCAATGGCATGGCATCATAAATATCAATTAAAGCAAATATAAATTTAGTGTCATGCACCATCATACTATTCACACCATCTTCCCACAACTCCTTCACTCTTTACAAGACCCAAGTTCAAGCCACCACCATCACCACACACACACACACACACACACACACACACACACACACACACACATATATATGAATAATTTTCAATATATATATTATACTGATTTTTATCAATCAAGAAAATTGTTAATGGAGGATATTTTCAATCCCATCCATTAAAAATGGAATCTTTTTTTGATCAGCAAAAAAATCTTTATTGATGAAAAAAACATACATTTCATACGAGATTACATCAATAGACATGAAAGAAGAAAGTAGAAAAAGAGAAACAAAGCACAATGTTGTGGAGTGACCAACACAGTAGCCACACAACAAACAAGCCACACCCAATATACAAACCAGCAGCAACCACACTCAACAGTAGCAGCCACACCCTATATGTAGAGTTTAATTTCTTGTAGCTTATAAATAATGTCACACATTGAGTACTTCAAGGAGGGGCATCAGATAGCCACACAACAAACAGCATAACAACATAGAGGAACAAAGCAGCAATAGCCACACAAAGTAACTGCTATAGTAGCAGCAACCACACCAGCAGAAACCACACCCAATAGAGGGGCAAATCAGATTATACACAATAGAGGAACAAATAGAGGAACAACAGCAGCTCAACGCTTGACGCAGAACTTCACTTGATCAAAAAAGAAGAGGGAAAGCTATATGCATTACACCTCAGCTACATGTGTTATGATCTGTAAGCTTGTGTTATACTACATTTTTTTTCTCTTTTTTCCTTTATGAAAAATTTCTTTTGTTTTCGATTTTATAAGATGCCATTTGTTCTTAAAAGGAGATACCATACCTGAAAATATGTGAAGTGAGGTTCAATCAACATGTCCCAAAACACATCAAATAATTGAGACTACCCTTTGTTCATAGTGCTACCCATGTTTTAATTATCATATATATATGGGACCTAATGTTCAACGATGAATAGTGTGACGCAATTGAGACTACCCTTCGTTCATAGTGCTAACCTTCACTAATATCTTAACCGAAAGTCCAATCGCTTCAGAAGGCACTTCACTCAACTTCTATATGGAAGGTTCCAAGCTTGACAAACGTCCCTATTAGAGGGAGAACTACCCACCCCAGTCCATGAACAACTTCTATCCCTCATATTGTTTCCACAGAATGAAAAACAATACAAGCATTAAAAGCTTTATTGCTAAAAATCCTAGCATTCCTTTAAAGCCAAATATGATAAATTGCAGTAGAAAAGGCAAGCTTAAACACAGTAACCTTGAAGCTCTTACCTTTCAAATTTAAAGTGTAATATTCCAATTCAGCAGACTAACTCATGGGCACTCTAGAAACTTGAAATTTCCTCAACACTTGCCCCCAAATCTAACAAGACTAAGGGCATTCAAAAAAGAGGTGATCATGAGATTCATGTGACAGATTACGAAGAACACAGAGCAAAGGAACCTCCATTCCCCATCTTTGAAGTCTATCCTTAGTAGCTAATCTTTTCCAACAGCAAAGCCATAAAATGAAGGCTCGTTTAGGGACATTATAGCTAAACCAGACCCTATACCACCAAGAAACACAAGCTTGAGGCACTCTAATAGCATTCCAAGCAGACCTAACAGAGAATTTCCCATTAGCAGCAGGACCACCACAACAAAGAATCCCCATGCTTAGAAACTTTAAATTCAAAATCACTTCTATAATATACCAACCTGTCCTTTTCCCATTCAAATTACAATAATCACCTTGTTATCGTTATTTAATAGGCAACATCTTCCAACCATTTTTAAGACCTTGATTGCGATAGACCAACAACATGCATTAAACTATATCTTGGAATATCTTTTTTCCTTATGATTTCAATAAAAGACTATTTTGGAGAACAAGGAATGATTCAGAATGAATTAAGGCATAAGAAACTTCAAATTTCTAGAACAAATCAAGGGAAAAATTGGTCAAGATGTCATTATCAATACCATTTATCTCAAATTAGATGGTCAAGATTAATACGCACAAAAATGGTGAAATATAACTGATCAATGTCGTACAATTCAAAATCAAGATTTAAACAAAGAGAATGCATATGAAAAGGATTAATTAATTAATTACCAAAAAAAAAAAATTGATTACAAAGTATAATAGTAGCATGGTCCGGACATCTTGAAAGCTATATTTGTCAAATTCAAAACAAGCTATAGCATCAATCAATAGAGTATGTCTACTCCATTGGAGTTGAAAATTATGTGTGTTTAGGCATGCACCAACACGACAAGTGTCAGACATAGATAACTTATATGTTACTTATTCCTTTGCTAATGCATAAGCAAGAGCAACATATCCTGGATCACAGCTAAGACTTGAACCCTGAATCCCACCTTAATAGATAATGGTATAATTTTATGTCACTGACTTACTTCTTATTCAAAGTTAGACTATGGATCAAACTTGGGTGCTTTAGAGAGATGATGTGGAAAAAGTTTCTAACACTCGCTAGCGCATGCAGTCCGATCACATGTAAAGGTGATAGACATGAGATAAATTAAAGAAATAGACCTGGGACAAAGACTTGACACACGAAAGACCACCAAAACCCCAACTCTGATACCGTGTTAAAATTCTTGAGGCATCCAATCAAAAACCAATTGGCATTAGGTTGAAAGGCCTTTAGACTATATGGACCAAGCTTTTGTGGCTTAGAGAGATGATGTGAGACAAGTCTCCTAACACTAAAGAGTCAAGTTTTGCATAATGAAGAAAAAAACAAGAACATTGAATATTGTCCAACCTAGAAATCATTAATTCTTCATCATACTTGCAAAGTTAGGAGCAAAGTGCATTTTGGAAAGAAATGTAGGGCTAGGGAAATATTGGTTTACTTGATGGGTGGATGGGAAAGGTAGGTTGGATACAAAGACGATTGACTGCATTGAGAAACTTCACTGTTCTATTCTATGTGCATACCAAGAGAATAGAGCATTTTATTCTCTACATATCAAATTGGCAACCTCCTCATTTTCTAATCTTATGCATTGCTGTAAAACTAATTTGTTTCAATGTGAGATTTTGAAATAATGTTTTGTTCACAAGTATAAAATCCAAGACTAGCTCGGTCCAATTAAAGAATATATAGCAAGCAAGAAACCATTTGTTAAAAAATGAAATTTCTAAATAACGGCTTATGAGTTCAGTCCCCCAAGAAAAAAAAGAAGGTTGTTGAATGAGCTCTCATTCATTTATTAAGAAATATCAAGGAAATAAGTTTTAAGTTCTAAAAACTAACCTGTAACTACAAGAGCATTGCAAGGGAGAATTTTGGTTATGTCTTGGTCTTTAATGTTATTCCAAGAGCTTTAGGGTTAATTTAGTTCACACTTTGAGGTAGTTATTGCCACTAACATATTCAGAAACATATGCATAATGAATTAATCAACTCTTCTATATGCTGCTCCTTAACATATTCATAAAACATATGCATAACCCGTCCTAACAATTTTTTTGGGTACCTTATTGTGAAGAAGACCTTTGTATATACCTTAATAAGAAAGAAAAATCATGAAAACCTTAATTATTAGATAAAATAAAAATTAAGGAGAATTTAGGCATCCTAAACAATGCTAATGTTTAAAACTATAGTCAATTTGGTTTGAAATTCATGAAATCACCAAATGTTTATAATGTGAATAGCATGAAATTCCATAACTAAATTAAGAGGCCCAGAATTGTACTAAAATGCTTACTCAATGTACTCATCCCGCACAATAACTATCACCATCAACCATCATGTACTCGTTCTTCCTAACTCTTGCTTCTTTACAGCCTGTTAAGAAAAAAAAAAAATCAAGATGTTGAAATTGCATCCCATTTTCGTGTAAAAACAAAAACTATTAATTGTGAAATAACCATTACCTATCTTCGAAATCACCTAAACTGCCATTTGGACTCATATCCTATCAGCAATGTCACAAAATAGCAAAATAAAGAGATTCCATATCAATTTTATCTCTCATGAAAAACTAAAGTAATAAAAAAGACAAATAATTGAAGTACTTGTCTATGTCATTTAGAGTAACCTACTTAGTACAACTATGAATGCAAAAATCATTCCAAAATAGAAAAATGATTCAGTAGGAAAAAAAAAAAAAAAAAAAATCCATTTTAGAAATCATAATCATGGAGTTCCCCATCCAAAATGCATACCACAATTTTTTTTTTATTTTTTATTTTTTATTTTTCAAATGATGCTAATTTCCCTTTGACTTCGAAGTATATTCCAACATCCCAACATAATCTGGGAAAAGGAGACTGTACACAAAATCTAAATGTACACACACACACACACACAAAAAAAAAAGATTTTCTGTGTCCAATGTTAATCTCAAAAAAAAAAAAAAAAAAAAAAAAAGAAGAAGAAGAAGAAGTTTAAAAATTCAAATATTATAGAAGCCAATTCAAAACACACACATATAATAAATAAATAAAAATTACCCAGTGAAACACTAAAAAAATAGATATTCAGAATTGCCTTTAGGCACAGTTAATTCATTGTTATGTATCAAAATAATTTTACTCACATCAAGCATACTCTTCTAATATCCATATTCAATTGGTTGCTCTTTTTATTAGGCAATGACATTGTCAATTGAGAAGGGGGGAAAGTGAAATAAGAAGCAATTTATACAAAAAGAGCAAATTATTTTGACATGGCAAAAGTGACAAAAGCAAATTATTTTTAGTTTGTTTTTATTAATAGTAATTGGAATTACCTTACAAAGCTCTATTGAGGCTCCAATCACCTTCACAGTTCATCATCATTAAAATGTCCATAATCACACTTGGAAAAAAAATAATAAAATAAAATAAACCGCACTTAGAAATAAAGAAGCAAAAAAAATTATTACCAATATTAATTTTTTTGAAATTTAAAACCTAGAAAATTAAAAATGATGAAATCTCATTTTTTTAGTTTGTTGTATTTCTTCTTCTACAAATCTTAAAGTGTTATTTTTCTTCAATTATAATCTCCTTAAGCATTTCCAGTAGTCTATTGCGATAGGAAGCTTTATGCTATAGGCCATCTCCAAACCCATCAAAAACAGGAAAAGAGAATAAGAACAACCAAATCTTGAAAGTGCAAGCAAATCTTGTGGTTAGAAAATTAGGTTTGGGGATGAAAAACCCTAAGATGTGAATTGCTTACCTGTGATAGAAGAGGGGCCAATCCACCTGATTGTGCCACAACAACCTAAAATCGAAAAAAAAAGTTAATCAAAATTACACCAAACAGAGAAGAGGAAGGATAGAGGAGAGGAAGACAAAGGGGCAGCGCCACTGCTAGTGCAGTTGGCGTTGCGAAAGAGTGAGAGCGAGAGGGAGAAACAAAGAAGAAGAAGAGAAGAAGAAAGAACAAACCTGTGTCGTTCGAGTCCACGAGAGTGAGGGAATGAGAATGGAGTTTCAAGTGCTTAACTAAATTCTGAGCAAAAAAACATTAGGGCACACACAACGTTCAAAATGGCATAGTTTTGACAAATAGTTTAAAGGCAACCGAGAAATTTGGCGGCCATAAATATTGCCCAACTTTTCAGCAACTAAATAATGATCGTCACCAAAAATGTATATTTGGTGACTAATATTTTAGTCGCCATATCTTAATTTCGTCGTAAAATTTTTTTCCTCGTTCCCGCCAAGAAATTTGGTCTGGCGTCAAACTCAACAGCAACCAAATGTTCTAACTTGTTGCCAATAGTTTAGTTTTTGGTGACTAAAAACATGTGGTCACCAATCATGTACATTTGGCGACCAATTTCTATTTTAGTTGCCAAAAAACGTCGCTAAAAATATTTTTTGTTGTACTGCATGCATGTTTTCTAATTATTTTGCTTTGTTTGGTTTGCCTTAGAGTACTAAGTGAGCACTTATTCCTTTAACGTGTTGCATTGTGTGTGATTGTTGCCATATCAAGCATGTTTTCCATGAGGCTAAGTGCTTAAGTGATATACCTGTCTGATTGCCCATAGATGAAGGTCTTTTTATTTAAATTGGAATAATTTGATTAATGTCAATACAAGCTCGCTTTTTTAAGTGACACATTTTCAAAACACTTTTTCAAAACAAACATGAATAATTTGATTAATCTCAATTCATGACCTTTCCCTCAAGTACCTAAGCTCCCAAGCCGAGACATTTTGGTGATGACAGACACGTGGCCTTTGGAACGAGTCACGGGTTTCCTAAATTTCTCAAAAATATTTAGGTGGCGACTCTGAAATCTGGCAAATCAGTCCATTTTTGGCATTTTGATTCAAAATCAATTTTCCAAAAGAATTGTCGGATTTTGACTTATTTGTATTTATCTATTTCACATTGCACTTATGAAATCAGATTCAGAACCATAGGAGTTCGAACTGTAGGGCTATCGTATCCGAAAGGAGCACGAAAAGTAAGTTACAGTGACTAGACATCACTGAGAAAAGTCAAACCATTAGGAATCAAGGGGTATTTGTTGAGTAAACGCAGAGGCTCCCCCTCACTCAATGAGTCTTTTTTTTTCTTTTCATTAATTTTTAACTTTTCTTTCTTGTGGGCACTCACTGGTAGCTTTCACGCTCAAGAGTATGGAGACCAAACCAAAGAAGTATGGAATCAAAAAGAATGACCTGGTTGGTGAGCCTTTTCCTAATGCCCAGACTTCAATGAACTAAGAGAGGAACCATGAAAGTGAAAAATGATGATAGATGGTTAAGAGACTCAGCATCACCTATGATATGCTAGTATAGCTTAATTCATCTGAAAATGTATAAGAGACACTGTTAGAGGCCATAGAGAACTTTGATCACTTGTGCAAAAACCCCTGCAACAGTTTATCTCAAGAATGTGTACAGAATGAGATCATGAAGTCAATGAGCATGAGCATTCAAAATGAGCTATGAACAAAGAAGAATGAAATCTTGCAAGCAGTATGAGAGGTGTTCATATGAGTCTAAATGTAGAGATGACAAAAATCAATGACAATGAAATTATAGCATCCAAGTACACATAAAGCCAATCACTCTTACCCTACTCAAGTAACAGGTCACACCCTAGTGATTGAGCACTACACCCAAGGTCTTTCTCAGGAACTCAAATCGAAGAAGATCAAGGGGTTTTGTAAAAATATCAGTCTTTTGATGCTCAGTGGGTACATGTTCAAGAACAATAAGGTCCTCTTCTACTAACTCTCAAATGAAATGATGACGAATGTCAATATATTTGGTGCGAGAGTGTTGGACAAGATTTTTAGAAATGTTAATGGCACTTGTATTATCACAGAAAATGGTGAGAGTGTTCTGGTCTATACCATAATCATGAAGCATTTGCTTCATCCACAACATTTGTGCACAGCAACTTCTTGCAGCAATGTACCCAGCCTCAGCGGTCGAAAGAGAGATGGCATTTTGCTTTTTGCTATGCCAGGCAACCAAATTATTCCCAAGGTAAAAACACTCTCTAGATGTGCTTTTACGATCATCAGCACACCTTGCCCAATCGGCATCAGAAAAACCAGTGATTTCGGCTGTAATGTCGGTCGAGAACCAAATCCCATACCCCAATGTCCCATTAACATACTTAATGATGCGTTTGACCGCAAGAAGATGAGACTCTTAGGACAAGCTTGGTAACAGGAACAAACACCTACACTAAATGCAATGTCATGACGACTGGCTGTGAGGAACAAGACTCCCTATAATACTCCTATAAAGGGTAAGATCAGCATCAGTACCAGAGAAGTCTTTGGAGAGGTGAAGGCTGGTGCTCATGGAAGTGCAAGAATGTTTGGCCAACTCTAGACCGAACTTAGACACAAGGTTTTTGGCAAACATGGTCTGAGAGACACACATACCTGAAGGAGACTGTTTAATTTGAAGACCCAAGAAATGAGACAACTCCCCCATCATGCTCATTTCGAATTCATATGTCATGCAATCCAAGAAATATTTCACAAGAGAATCAAAAGTTGATCCAAATATAGTATCAACAATATAAATCTAAGCAACAAGTATATGAGACTTAGTATGTTTCACAAATAAGGTCTTGTCCACACTACCTCTTTGAAAATCATTATAAAGAAGAAATGTAGTAAGTCTATCATACCAAACCTGAGGGAATTGTTTTAACCCATACAATGCCTTGTCTAACTTGTAGACATGGTGTGAACATTTTGGGTCCTCAAATCCTTTTGGTTACTCAACATAGGCGTCTTCTTTCAAGTACCCATTCAGGAAGGCACTTTTCACATCCATTTGACACAATTTGAACCCTAGAAAGCTTGCAACACCAAGTAAAATTTGAATAAATTCAAGACGTGCAACAGGGGCAAACGTCTCGTTATAGTCAACGCTCTCTACTTGTGTATAGTCTTGAGTCACCAACCTAGCTTTATTTCTAACCACAGTACCATTCTCATCAGATTTATTTTTAAAGATCCACTTGGTACCTATCATATTCATGTCTCTAGGTCTGGAAACAAGAGTCCAAACTTTGTTACGTTCAAATTGACCTAACTCATCATGCATTGCATTAACCCAACCATCATCTAGTAAGGCCTCTTTTACATTCTTAGGTTTAATTAATGAAACATAACACATGTGAGTTACCTCATCTCGAACTTGTTTTTGGCTTTTCATTCGGTCTAAAACATGTCCAATTACCTGTTGAACCAGATGATTTAGTTTTACCCTTGCTAATGCTTTTAACTTTGGGCTGGTAGTGACTGGAGCATAAGAGGTGGTGTCTCTTTGTGCACTTTTTGGACTCGGACTTACCATTAAAGTTGGTGCTAGCTCACCTTCTTGGGCTTGACCCTGTGCTTCTCCTTGACTTTATGGTTCAGTATCTAAGATTGGAGACTCACCATATTCTTCCTTATGTATTGCTGGCATAAAAGAACTTGTGTCATCTACAACCACATTGATTGATTCCATTAGAGATAAAGTACACAGGTTATAGACACAAAAAGCTCTACTGGTGGTTGAATACCCTAAAAAAATACCTTCATCGCTTCGGGAGTCAAATTTTCCTAAAGGCTCTCTATATTTGAAAATGTAACATTTACTCCTAAACGTTTTGAATTATTTTACATTAGGTTTCAACCATTTCTACAATTCATATGGAGTTTGTAAAGTGCCGGGTCTTAAATACACATGGTTCACAACATAAACAACAGTATTTAAGGCTTCAACCCAGAACTTAGAAGGAACTTTCTTGCTAAGGAGCATGACCCTAGCCATCTCTTGAACTACTTTGTTCTTCCTCTCAACAGCTCCATTTTGTTGTGGAGTAATTGGTGCAAAAAACTCATGCTTAATTCCATGCATATCACAAATATCCGAAAATGAACTATTTTCAAATTCATGACCATGATCAGTTCGGATTCTTATGATACACCCAATAGAAACACCCTATATATTTTGGATTTTAAGGACTAAGGCTTGAAAAGTATCAAACGTATCAGATTTTTCTCTCAAAAAATTAACTCATGAAAAATGAGTATAATCATCAACAATTAAAAAAATATATCTTTTATCTCCAATGCTTTCACTGCAAGTGGGTCCCATAAGATCCATATGAACCAGTTCAAGAAGACGTTTGGTTGTGAAGTTGTTTACCTTTTTATGAGGGACACGAGTTTGCTTCCCAAGTTGACATGGTCCACACACATGGTGACGACCCCGCCACATAAAATATTTTACATTTTATTAATCAAGGTGATTTAGATTTTAATTAATTATTATTCCGATTTAATTGTGGAATTGATGAACAATATTGGGGTTGATTCGTATATAATTTTATAAAAAGAGTTATTTTGGAATTAGAAATTAAAAGCTTAAGTGGCTCAAGAAGGTGAAGGTGATGAATTGAAATATTTTAATTTCGAGTATTGGACCATATGGGAGTTTAATTAAATATTCAATTCAATTTAGTAAAATTGAGATTTTATTAATTTGGTCCGAATTGGAGTTAATCAAGTTATGAAAATTGGGAATTGAAATTATTATGAATTAAATTCATTTATGAGGTGTTGAATTGAATATGTAATTTATTGAAGGAGATTTTAAATTTGATTAGAAATTGAAAGCCTTACTGATGTGAGAAATCAAAATTGATAATGGAAATAGGTTTAATTTAATATTTGGAACCTTTTTAGAGTTTAATTAAAAATCTGATTCAGACTGATAATTTAAATATAATAAATTGGGTCTTAATGGAAGTCAATTGGACTGATTAAGATTAAGAAGTGATTAATTAAGCTAATGTATAATTTGTGCTAAACTAATCCTAATATACATCACCACATGGATTAGTTTAAGATGGACAAGTGTCCCACCATTTTAATATATATATATATATATAAAATAAAAATAAAAATAAAAAAGGAAAAGAAAGTGGAATAAAGAAATGGGTGCAGTACATTGAAGCTATACATCATCTATGTTTTTGTTTTTGGCTGGAACAAGAACGGTCAAGTGAGAGAGAAAGAAAACTGTGAGTGAGAGGGAGAGAGACAGAGTTCAATTCTTTAGAACTTGCTGGAAATATTGAAGAAAAACTAAGGAAGTTAGGAGAAGTGAAGAAGTTGTCAAGAATACACCAAATTGAAAATTAAAGGTAAGGATTTCAATCTTGAATTTTGTAGAATCCTTGTATTACACTTGAATTAATGATGAGTTTGGGTTCAATTTCATATAATTTGGAAGAAATTAGAAAACAAAGATGAAGAAATTAAGGTAGGTTCATGGTTGTGGAAATTTATTATTTTGGGTTTGATGATGTAGTTTTGTATGAAATTAAGCCTCATTGTTACATGCATGGGCAAATTCTACAAGTTTAGTTTGAATTTGGATTTGATATGAGGAAAATTAATAAAAATCTAAATGAGAGCAATTCAAGATTTTAATTATGGTTTGAGCTTAATAATGTAAAATTGGTTGGATTTTGATAAATGTTTCATACATGCAAATGATTTTCTAAGAAGTTTATAACTTTAATTTCATGTTTTGAAGGAAAATGGAAAAGAGCTTGAAGTCAATTTTATGTCATTAAAAAGGAAATAAAGAATTGGAGCTATGTTCAAGAAGTTAAATTAGAAATTAATTATTTTGGGTTTAATTTGGAATGCTATTGTTAAATTAAGGTCCATAAATTACATGCAACAAAGATTTATTGAATATTGATCATGGCTCATAATTATTTTCATGTTTTGATGAAATTTTGCATGAGTTTTGAATATGAAATTGGGTTTTAAAAGCTTAATTTATGTTTTAGAATTTATGAGTTTGAAATTGGGTTTGATATAAAGAAAATGAATTAAATCTAAAATTGGACAAATTAAGAAATAAATTATAATTTGAATTTGACAATCAAGAATTAGTTTGATCTTAAATTGAATTTCATATATGTAGATATTTTTCTAAGAGCATTATAGCTTTAATAAGAAGAAAAGTTTTGAATCATTATATTCATGAAGTTATAGCTTTAATCTTGACAAATTAAGGAGGTTTTTGCATTAAGATTTGGGAATTAAATAACGAATAAAAATAACCGAACGAACAAGTACCGAATGAACTAAATAAGTTTAAGAACAGACTGAATGAATTGAACATGTTTTGAGATATTGTGCTTGAATGTGTTTGTGTAGGTTAGACGCCACACTATGATCACGTGTTTCAAGGAGCCAGCTGTGAGTAATACTGTTGTAAAAATATGTTCAAACGTATTTATTTTCTGATTGATAAATTATATTGTTTCCTGAAATGATACCTTTTTATTGATTGAATGATGATCCTAATTTCTAAATTGTATTCGTGGCATCCATAGCATATTGTTATTGTTATTGATATAGAGACCTCTGTCAGTTTCAATTCTTGGAACTATTGTCTATTGTTTAATGACCATCAATTGATTGTTCGGTCTTTAAGACCTATTGTATTGCTGCTATTGGATATACCATGTATGACCTCTATAAATATGATTGATTGAAGTGAACGATTGAACGATTGATTAACAAAAAGATATTGATTGAAAATGTTCTATTAATAATTTATTGCTTCAAATGTTGTAAGGACATCATTCAGAACTCTTTTACACAGTTGTTATTTACTGGGCTCTATCTCATTATTTTATATTTATATGTAGGTGATCAAGTGCAAAAGCGAACTTAGCGGCGTCAACCTAAACTCTGCTTTGTTAAGCCAACTTATATGCCTCACTTTGAGGTTTCCACTGAGACAAGCTTCAAGGTTTCATGGGTGGTTTAGAGTTCACCCTTTTGTTTTGAACGTTACTGAGACTAGTTCTGAATGTTTTCATATCTGAAGTTAAGACTGATTTTGTTAATGCGCTTTAATCCCTAATTATGTTGTATTTTTGTACATAAGCTTGATGCTTGGACTGATCTGTATATACATATATGAAAGTTGTTTTGTTACATATTAGTCCTCACAGCTTATTGGACGATATATTTTATTATTTACAAGCTTCCGCCAGTCCCTATTATTGTATTACTAATAAGCAGGCCTTTGGTAATCTCGAATTACCGGCCGGTCATGACGCTAAACCTATAGGGGCAGATTTGGGTCGTGACACACATGGTTCATATTCTTACCAATTTTGGATAGTCCTCTCACTAGCTCTTTGTTGGCAATCTTAGTTAGGTCTTTAAAATTTATGTGACCTAATCTTTGATGCCACAGGTCAAGATTACTTATGATGGTTGAGTGGCAAGTGAGATCATTTGTGGTAACAATCCCATAGCAGTTATCAGAGGTGTGAACCCCATGCATGACAGTATTTCCTTTCTTATCCAAAATTTCACATTTATTTTTTGAAAATAATACTTCATGATGGGAATCACACATTTGACTGATGCTCAAAAGATTCACTTTAAGACCATCAACAAGTAAAGCATTTTCGAGCTTGGGAAGATCGGCCACACTTATAAAGCCCTTACGAATGACTCTAGAACCACTATCTCCAAGGGTAACAATTCCTCCTTCATATTTTTCAAGAGATGTGAAGTAAGATTTGTCACTAGACAATGTGATGAGAGCACCCACTATCAAGATACCACATGTGTAAGTCACGTGCTTTCAGTGCAGTGTAAACAACAAAACAAGTTAAATCACTCTTTCTAACCCATATCTTTTTGGTCTTAACAGAAGCAGGACAGATAGTCTTGGTAATTGTCTTAGCGTTGTGAGCACCATCATGAATCTTGGTGTTCCGCCTAGATATGTAAGGTTGTCTCCTAACCCATGAAGTATTAGAATTTCTAATTTTTTGAGACACCTTACCAAATAACTCATAAAAATAAGGATGAATGTGGCCATACCTACCATAATGATGACAAACAAAAACAGGTTTTACCTCCCTTTTGTTGATCTTACCCCCGTTAGGTTGATAAAGAAAGGGATCACCCTGCGAAACCTTCAATTTTCCTTTCGTTTGAGTCTTGATGTTATATGATATAGAGGCTTGTCCCTTTTGAACTGCGGCACTACCATAGACTAGCCCACTTTTGTCACAACTCATCTGTTGAGACCCAAGGATGTCTTCCAGTGTCTTTGACCCTTTGTTCCACATATCAATTGTGGCTTTAACAACTTGGAGTTCTTCCTCTTTCTGACCGACCATCTCTTCCAATGCAGCTTGTGACATCTCAAGGATTTCAATATTCTCTTCATATGTGACATAGATTTTCAGAAGTTCATTCCTTTCGATCTCACAAGATAGAAGTTTTCTACTAGGTGTTGTCTGTTATTAAAGATCATGATAACATCTTGTTTTTCTGTTGCAATCTCTCACTTTAGCTTGACATTCTTGCTTTCACATGTTTTGAGCGTGAAAGTCAGTTTGTCATTGATCTTGACAAGTTCAGAGATTCTTCTTTTTGCTCCTCTTTCTTCTCAATCTCATCCAGTCGAGCAACTAAAGCATGAAAGTTGATGGATGGTTGTGAAGATGACTCACCTCTTTCATGGACTTGACTAAGAATGTCTCATACATCTTTGGCCTTTGTGCAGTGAGCAATTCGTTGTTCTTCTTCTTCAGAAATTGCTTCACGAATTGTATTTAGAACTCTCTGATTGCTCAGATTGTCAGCACTTTTAGAATCCTCTTTAATTACTTGCCAACCTTCAGGGTCATGAGCTCTAAGATACATCCTCATTCGCATCTTCCAGAATTAGTAATCACTCCAATCAAAGGTAGGAGCATGGTGTAAAATCTAACCACGAGCAAACTCTACTGGCTTTGGAGATGGTTGAGTGACGGTAGATCAAAATGCCATGTAGGTACTATCTCCGTCTTCACCGGATTCGGTTTCTTCTGGTTCTTGCTCTGACCCACTTTCATCCCAAGTCACTGTATAGACTTTCTTGCGGTTCTTTTTTGATGGATATTCAAGTGCAATATGTCCAAACCCTTGACATTCATAACACTTGACACCTTGCCTTTTCACAGTCTTCTTCTTAGTTTTTGGAGCAATTTTAGGTGGAAAAGTTTTGATTTTTAATTACCCCTATCTTTTGAACTACAGTCCTTGAAATTAGGCTTCTTTTTCTTTAAATTTTTTTTGAACTATTTAGTAAACATCATCGTCATTTCGGACTCTAGGTCAAACTCAACCTCAGGGGTCTTAGCAGTCTCATGAATACTGGAAAAAGTCACACTATCTTTTTGTTTTTTCTTAGAAATCTAGTAGGCTTCATAAGTTTGCAAGTTTCCAACCAACTGATCAAGCTTGAGGTTCTTAATATCCTGAGCCTCCTCAATAGCTGTCACTTTTGATTGGAACCACTCAGGTAATGACCTTAAAATTTTTCCAACTACCTTAGCTTCAGGGATTTTTTCACCGAGTGTGAGATAGGAATTCACGATGTCACTAAGTTTAGTATAAAAATCATCAAACGTCTCATCATTACGCGTAAAAAGAGTTTCAAAAGAAGAGGTGAGACATTGAAGTTTTGATCTTTTAACAACAATAGTACCCTCGTGAATAGTTTCAAGAATGACCCAAAGCCTCTTTTTCTACCGCACATGTGCAAATACGACGAAACTCTTCAGATGTGATGAAGCAAAAGAGAGAATTGAGAGTTTTACTGTTCCAACTCAAGTTTTGATAATCGAATATGTCCCATTTATCAAGAGGTTTGGGGATATCAATACCATCAATGGTGACAACAAGTTCACTCAATCCATAAATCACACAGTGCCAAACTTTCTCATCAATAGATCTTAAAAATGCCCTCACACGAGTTTTCCAATAAGAATAGTTTGTATCATCAAGTAACGGAGGTCTATGGGTCAAGTTACCTTCACGAATTGAATCCATATCACAAATCACACAAAATCACACTCCTATAGTTTTAATAAAAACAAAGAGTGACCTGCTCTGATACCAAATGAAAAACCTAAATGATTTCTGATTCAGATCAATATTAATTACAACAATTCCCAAACGATTAAAACTAACAATCTAAATCATCTAGCACGCACGAAAGTGATTTAGATTGTTTCTTTGAAAAACAATAAATTGACACAACCGATTTTGCGTGGAAAAAATCATATTTGGAGCAACTCCAATTGTGATTAAAAAACCACAAACGAAATGCCACAAATCAATCCACTATGAAAGAAAGAAATAATACAAATTTACCGAAACAAATTACCCAAACGCAATCAGTTTGTCTTCAACAATCTGTATCTCTTTCACCACCTCCTTCGTTTCGGAATTGATCAGCTTGATGTTGAATCCACAACATCCATGTCAAATCAACGACTGCACACAACTTCGAACACCTTTGAATACTTCACGCTTGAATTTCTGGATTCCACTAAAGAAGAAGAACACTCTTGAAGTTGAACAATCAAACAACTCTTTGATGTATGCTTGTCAAACCATGAGTTTAATACTTAACCAAACATCAAAAAAACTAGCAAAATAGCCCCAGAAGAAATCCCTAGAACCCTCAAAGAAGATCTAGAAGCCGTGCCCTAGATTTGGAGCAAACTGTAGCTTTATAGCAGTTGGATATGCGATCTCCGCTCAAGCAGTGTCACCAAAACGCATGTTCCAAACTAGGGTCCATGCTCGAGCGTTGAAACTTACGCTCGAGCGTAAAATCACACCTCTCCGCATTTTTACAGACAAGCCAAAATACTGAGAAGGTGAAACCTCCGCTCGAGCACAACTTTTCCACTCGAGCAGGACAACCCAAACACTTAGGAAAAATACAACTTGATAACCCAAGCTTGTTCGTGAAATTGGCTGTAAGTAGGGACCTAACACCCTCTTTCTTTAAGTATCCCTTTTTGTATTGGGAAATATACTTAATGAGAATCAAAAAAAAAATATAAGCTTTTGTAAGTTATTTGTGAAATAGAAGCAACTTTGGGGAAAATTTTGAAAAAAATTTCTTCGTTGGTTGACAACAGTCAACACACAACACATATTTTGCTTCAAGGACACTAGCTTGCACTATGAATCATGAATTCTCTTAAAGAATTTATACTTTTGGGATAAACATGAATAATAAATAAGAATGAAAACTTAATTTTCAAGACTTGTACATGATGATGACAATGGAAGCTCAGTGAAAGTGCACTCATCTTTGCACTCTTCCATGCATTCTCAAAATTAAAAAAAAATTGAGAGTCCCAATAACCAAGTGCTCCAAGGCATAAGAAAATGACCATAAAAATAAAAAGTATGGAACTCAAGATACTTTCTCTAATTTCATACATTTTTCATTTTTTTTTTAAACCTTTTCACCATTTCCAAAGTACTTGTATATGCGAATCCCAACATTAAACAATGTTCAAGGGACACTTGTTAGCATTTACCGTAAATTAATATATTGTTATAGTTGAATTATATCTGCAACTATTTGAGTAAATTGAAAGGAAAATGTTAGCATTAAGTACTGGTCGATACAAAATCATATACGTTGATATGTATTGAAATTTTGCAAGCCTATTTTCTTGATCACATAGATTTTAATGTGGATTCTTATATGTGGTATGTCGATGATGGGCCTAGGTTACGTAGATGCATTATACCTGACCTTTTATTACATGTTCTTTGTGATTGGTTCACTCTCCTATAAAGGTCAGGAAATGTATAATCTGTCTGCTTTATTTGTATTTATATGCAAGAATATCTAAATGTGGCTATCTTAAATTTGTGACACAATGACTTGTACTAAGATTGCTTGAATTTTTATATTGATTGATATAAACAGATGTAGACAAGTTTCAATAATACTCATTTTTCTCATAAGATAAAGCTCATTCACCATATATTTGTTGAGTTGATGCAATTTAAAGTGCAGCAACTTCTAAAATGATAAATTTCCTCTAGATCAGATCAAAGAATGATGATGTAAAATCAAATCATGCAACCCTACGAAGATCATTTATCTGTTGAAT